GTCTATTCATATGAAGCGGGTTTTATGAATTTAAAGGGATTAGATTAAAATTGATCTCGTATATTGCAAAACCTAATGAGTTGTGATTTCTTCTTCTGTAAATGAAAAAGCTTAAATTAAATTCCAGGGAAGTTACTTGGTGTCATTTAATCTTCAGTAATAAAATAAAGACTATGAGTGTGCAACTCTAAACAATTACTTTACTAATTCCCATTTCCCATTAAATTTTGAGGGAACCTGAGCAGTTAGAATAAAGGTACACTGAAAAGTAGAATAAAAGTCATGAAAGTGTACCAGATTTAAAAATAAAAAATATAAATTATTTGTGCAAAATATTCAAAACTCTTGTTTCACTTTTCTAAAAAGTTGAGTATCTGCCCCTTGCACAGAGCATGCCTCCAAACAACAGAAGCCTTAACGTTTCCCAGACTTAGTTTCTTCTCAGAAAGTGCCTAAAATATCTGATTTATGACCATTTTGTTTCAGTAACCTAAGAACCAGATTGTCAAACAAAGCTGCTACAATGAAAACTGCAAAGTTCCCTCCCTTAGAAGCCCCTTCTCAAAAAAAGAAAAAGTAAATTAGCCCATGAACAGAACAGTTTATGAGGAAAGGAAAGGCTATCATCTTCTTTTTTTCTTTTTTTTTTTAACTTGAAAGACATGTTTTTCCTTCCAGTAAAATCTTGAGGTACATAAAACGCCTTAAAAACCTGAATACGGCTTCTGGAAATGCCATTTTTTTGACAGGTAATTTCAAATAGAGTTTCACACAGAAAGAGAAAGGGATTTTTAAGAGAGACAAAACCTGGGGAAGGGGGGGAAAAAGAGAGCTGGCAGCAGCAACACTGGGAAAGCATCATTGTCACAAATCATACTTGCCCTGTGGTTATCTCTTCTCATTTCTTTGAATCTCTTTTTCTTCCTTGGAAATCCAGCGTGATTTTATAGCTTATGACCTGAGCCAGCTACAGCCATGGCATTTCAGCTAAAAGCCCAGGCCATTAAGACAAAAACAGGCTTGTCGTGATTACCAAGAGAGGTCTGTTTGTGCATTTCACTTCATTTTGAACTGTGACAGGTAAATTGAGTTCCTGATAGCAGACGGTGGGACTTGGAGATCAAGTAGTTCAGGATGCTCAGCTACAACTTGTTCTTGCAAATTCGTCTCAGCAGTCAGGACTGAAGAAAAAATAAGCAGATTGAGCGAGATAATTTAAGCAGCTACTAAGAAAAACAGAAATGATTTCTCTTTTCTCATGCATTTTTAAATTTCTAGAAGGCTATTAAATTATTGAAGTATTTCCTGAAGGTGTGAAATGCATGGAATCATCATTGTCAACCACATTTATAACATATTTATTAATTGGTTCATGTGTCATATTTGGCACTTGGGGAGTTTAAAAAGAGAGAGAAGACAAATATAAAAATCAAGATGAATTTATACATCTTGAATTAAATGTTCTCATCATCAAGTTCATCAACCTTTGAAATGCTCTCTTAAGCATCTGAGGAAAAACAAAGTTATGTGCTAAAGCATTAAGACTATTAAACTTATTTAAATTAACAAATGTCTGGTGAAACATGACACAATCAGAAAAATCACCAAATTTTGATTGAAATAAACCTGTGTTTTAAATATCAGCTCTATGAAAAAGGATTTAAAAACTAACTGACTTATTACAATGTGCTAGAAACTGTGCTATACCACTTGCAGAGGCAGTTTGCAAAGATTAAATAGGTTTTTCAATGTTGTTATAATTGTGTTCCTCCAAAATTCACCTGTTGAAGCCCTAAACCCCAGTTCCTCAGAATGTGACAATATTGGCAGAGAGAGTCTTCAAAGAGGTGAGGAAGTTAAGATGAAAATGTTGGTGGGTCCTAAACCAATATGACAGGTGTTCTTTCTTTCTTTTTTTTTTTTTTAAGTTTTTATTTATTTATTTGACAGACAGAGATCACAAGTAGGCAGAGAGGCAGGCAGAGAGAGAGGAGGGGAAGCAGGCTCCCCGCCAAGCAGAGAGCCTGACACGGGGCTTGATCCCAGTACTCCAGGATCAGGACCCGATTTGAAGGCAGAGGCCCCAACCCACTGAGCCACCCAGGCGCCCCACAACATGTGTTCTTATCAGAAGAGGAGATTGGGACTCAGACACCACAGATGGACAACCACGTGAGGAGAGACAGCAAGACAGTAGACATCTGCAAGGTTAAAAAAGTGGCCTCAGAAGAAACCAAACCTGTTGACAACTTGACCAGAGCTACTTAGTTTCAAGTTCTGTCTCCTACCCACATCTGACCTACTTTGCTATCTTCTCTTCCCTTGACCCCTATAATTCTAGAATACCTAGGATCAGCCTCTACTCCCTCTTGCTACACCCACTCCTAAAACAGATCTCACCTCTTCAATGGCTTTATTGCCATCAGCATGCTCTCAACTCCCAAACTTACATCCCCAGCAAGCCCTTTCTTTGAGACTGCTCAGTAAAGCAGCATTTAATCACCCATGAACGTGTTTGTTGATTGTCTCACAAGCATCCAAATGCTATCTTATCTAAAATCGAACTCAAGATTTTCCTCTAAAGTCTGCTTCCAAAACGTGTCCTGAACCTGTCTAACCGTCTCAATCTTTTCTGCAGTGTTGTCTAGGACGCTGTTATTTCTTGTCTGAGTGATGGCAGTAGCCCTGGACCAACCTTCTTGCTTTACTGAATTCATCAGAGTCTTTCTGACTTGTGTCTTTGTGCTTTCTCTTCCCTCGGGTCCTTTTCTCCCCTGGCCCTTGATAGGACTTTTCTCATTCTTCAAGCCTCCGGTCATATGTCACCTCCTCAGAGAGGCCAGCCTGATAAATCTCTCTTAATAGTTCTCCGCTTCTGTTTCTCTATGTCCCATTCATTTACTTCTAAGTATTTCCCGTTTAAAATATTTTTCTTATTAGCGTTTTATTGGTCTCCACTGCTGTCAAAGAAAAAAGATACAACATACAGATTAAATAGGTAAGGAAAGACCGGATTCAAGACTTTCTAAATAGAGGACAGAGGTTAAACTCAACTCTGCTGAAACGAAACGCTGGGGAGTTTGTAAGATGTGGGGTGAACTAGTGGCAATAGCAGGGAAATGGATCAATATGATTAGGTCTCTGTGTTTGCTAACTGGTGCTTATAATCAAAGATAGACATCTGTTTTGCTTCTAAACCTAAGTGCCAAGTACAGTTCCTGACACACACGTCCTGGTCAGATTCTGACGAAGGAGCACATGAATGACTACACTGTACTAGAACATTTAACCTGTACTGTGTAGGGTATTTGATATCTCTAAGGGCTCAGCGTCCTATAAAATTGGAATAATATGTCGTATAGGTTGTTGTTAAGATTAAATAATGTGTTCTTTCAAGTCTCCTGAAGTAAGAATAGTTACAAACTGAAGGACTGTTAAATTGATCAATTGGGGAATATAAACTTACTTGCCTGTCTATGGTGGTTCCTCAAAAAGTTAAACAAAAGTACTTTATGATGAAGCAATTCCACTTCTAGGTAGATACCCCAAAGAGATGAAATCAGGGACCCTAACAAATATTTGCACACCGATGTTCATTCCACCACTATTCACAGCAGCCAAGAGCTGGAAACAACTCAAGTGTCTATCAATAGAGTAATAAACAAAAAGCGATGTGTACATATATACAATATTGTATTTTTCAGTCATACAAAGGAATGAAATTCTCATATAAAATACAGTATGGATAAACCCTGAAAATGTTATTCTAACTGAAATAAGCCAGACTAAGAAGGACGAAAACTGTTATGATTCCACTTACTTGAGGTATCTAGAAGAGGCAGATTCACAAAAGCAGAATGGAGAGTACCTGGGGCCGGGGGTAGGGGGAGTAGGGGGTGGGGAGTTACTGTTTCATGAGTATGGAATTTCTGTTTGAGATAATGAAAAATGCTGGAAATGGTTATTGGTGATCTTTAAACAACATTGTGACTATACTTAACGCCACTGTGTTGTATACTTAAAATGGTTAGAATGATAAATTTTGTTATGTATGTTTCATACCAATAAAAAATAGTGAATAAACATTAAAAATAATTATTCTCCTATAGTATAGATACTTCATTCATCATGAGCAAATTTCTTACAGGCTGGGGAGGGTTGCACAGTGCCATGGAAAAATGCCCCAGACATGGATTCAGAAGATTTTTTTTTTTCCAGTCTCAGCTTTGTCACTTAACCAGCAATAAAAATTTGAGCAAGTCCCTTAGGTCCTTTGCACCTTAACTTCTTCTAGTTACAGTATCCAACAGGATTGTTTTGCATACTAAAAGGAAATAATGCATATAAGGGGCTTTGTAAATTCCAACAATTATATAAGTAGATGGGAACAGTTTTTATTATATATTCCTTTAAGAAGCTTAATCTTTTCACTGAAATGTACTTATTAATTGCTATTTAAGTACCCTAAAATATTAAATTACTGTTGCTAAGATTCTGCCAAGTTGGATTTTTTTTCTCTGTGCATGAAATTGTAAGTTTTTAAATGGAAAAAAATGCTGAATTTCTAAGGAAAATCATTTCTATGTATCATTCTTATAGCGAATGGGTCATTAAACCTTTCTGTTCCATACCTTTTGTTCATTGTACAGCCTCACTGTACATACCTTAGGAAGAAAGGATAACTATATTATATCCTGTCTGGAAAAAATGGCTTTCAATCATATGTCATTACAAGTATTAAAATTTTTTATTTTGCTACCTCCTCTCATCTTCCATTCGAAACCACACAAACCATTATCATTGCATTGTCAGACATATGATAGTTTGATATGGCACTATATCCAAGTAGAAATTATTTTGTAAAACTCTTTGGATACATAATTACACTGAAAAATAAATATTTTAAAAGTAACATAAGTTTCTTGTTATAACCTCATAACTTAATACCAAAATTAGTGTGGTTGAACAATTGTCAACTAATTTTTTGTTTCCCTCCTTAGTGGTTATGTCTTTGACTATGATTACTACAGAGAAGATTTCTACAATCGGTATGTTAGTTTTTCATTCTTGTTACCCTTTAATTTAAATTCTTTTAACTGTTTTGTATATTGCACTCCTAGGTATTCTTACTAGATGTTTAAAGTACAGAAAATTCTTTACTCAGTCCCAAAAATAAAATGTAGACATATTTTCTTATTTTCATTGTGCTCACTAAAGCATAGTACATCTTGGACTTTTTAGGACTCTGGTGGTTCTTGAGCCAAAAGTTCAGTTATGGAATATTGGAATAACATCCCAAAAATTTAATGAACCAATATGGTTTTCCAGGTCTGTTGTTGACTTAGGATTCTTCACGACTGAGAGTTTTGTAAACTCAGAAAATGACTCCAACCTTCTAAAATACATGTTTTCAATATGACACGTTGCAATGTTAGTTGGTTAGATTGGTTAGATTCAGTTAAAAACTACGGGCAGGGCACCTGGGTGGCTCAGTGGGTTAAGCCACTGCCTTCGGCTCAGGTCATGATCTCAGGGTCCTGGGATCAAGTCCCACATCGGGCTCTCTGCTTGGCGGGGATCCTGCTTCCCTCTCTCTCTTTCTCTCTCTGGCTGCCTCCCTGTCTACTTGTGATCTCTCTCTGTCAAATAAATAAATAAAGTCTTAAGAAAAAAAAGATTTAAAACTACAGGCAGTTCTTGCTTTGCATAGTGGTGTTGGATCATAAAGGAAACCATGGAAAGTGATGTTAACAACCAGTGGAAAAATAGAATTTTCCCACCACCTCTAAAAGTGTTTGTAAAAACATTAAAAACTCTCTTACTGTTGGTTATAAATAATAGGGAAATACAGTAAAGTTGTTTTAAGCACACTATAATTTGAAACAGTAAAAATATTCAGAATTAACCTGTTTTTAGCTCTTTGTAAAAAGACCTGTCCAAAAGTAGTTTGAGCAGGGCCTGCCTTCTTGTACAACATACAATATGGAGCTAGCATCCCTCTTGCGCCTTGGTGAGGTGTCAGACTCCTTTCGAAGGCTGGACCAGCTTCAATAGATGATCAGCGTTGTGAACTATCTCTGAGAGGTCTTCAGTGTGTGGTTCTTTCGCCAGTGTCCCTTCTTCTGGGGCATTGTCATCCCGTTTTATCCCTTCACAACTGGCTTCCTTATTTATGTCAATATGTTTGCTTTTCCAAAGTTCCTCTGGCTCGATGTCTAGAGTCTCTCTAGTAGAAGAGTGTCGGCAGTCCTCAGCTGTTTCTCCTACAGTTCTATCCCATTTAATATTATTCCACTTCCACTTCTCTTCTTTGCTGCACTTTCATTTTTGTGGACCAGTTCCCTCTTTTGATTATCCACTACTACCCAGGGCCACGTGGGTTTATGACTGGCAACAAGGAGACAATACAACTGCACAGTTCCTGTCTGTGTGTGCGACAGATGCGCGGCAACCAGACGGGCTTTGAATGACGTGACATGACCGATCACTGATCATGGATGTGTCTCTTATTTGCACAGTGCTTAGTGGGCTGAAACACCAGCAGCCAAGTTTGGGCTTGATGAAATTACTCATAGTTAATACGTGGCAACTGAAATTCTATTTGTGCTGTGGGGAGCCGAGTTATTTAACTAAACACGGGTAATTGAAATTCTGAGATACGCAGATCAAGGGCCCACTGTTGTAGATCACTAGACCACACACACAAAAATGAGATAAAGATCTTTTAAGCTTTTTAATTGTGAGCTCTAGTCAAATAACAACCAAAAAAATCCCAAGTTATAAAAATGCAAACTTGGAAAAATAGCTCATAATGGACATTTTTAATAGGGGAGAAACTTCAGGATCCCAGGGAGAGCGTGGTTCTGTTTGCTCCAGCCGTGTGGCTCCTTTCCCAGCTCCACAAGAACACAATAGACCCTCCTCCTTCAGCACCTTTTCCCATGCTGCTCCTTCTCCTCATTCCTCCCTCTGCCATAGTTAACTTGCCTTCCTCCCTCAGATCTCAGCATGAGCACCACTTTCAGACTAAATTAGTTTCTTCTGTTCCCCTCTCTCAGTACCCAGCATTGTTCCTTCACAGCACTTCTGCTTTTTACTGCTGTCTTTCTTTGTGATGACAGTATTTGATTTATGTCTGCCTCTCTTCCTCCATGAATGCAGAGAAAATGTTTAGGTTTGAGTATTATTGTATCCTCAGGCAATATCATTAAGTCTCAAACATAGTGGATACTCAATTTGTGTTCTTAATTCATCTCTTTGGATTTAGAGAGACTTTGGTTTTCCCTAGGTCATAGAGTAAATTCATGACCAAACTACAATTATAAGCTATTCATTTAGACTCAATAACCAACTGTGTGAATATGCAAAATGGAAGGGAAGTCATATTAGTCTATGAGTTAAGTGAAAGGAGACAGCCTTACCTAAAAAAGGATGATCAGACCACAACCATACGTTCATCACTGCTATGTTCAACTACTCAGTTAAGCAAGTTGTTCCATTAGTTATGCCTTTATGACTAAATACGAATTTTAAAACATAATTTTCTCAAATCATTTTTATAATTTCTAAAAACACAGTATTTTATTGTAAATATTAAATAGCTTGTAATAACTTGTCCTAAAAATGAGCTGAAGATCTGGCAGCATAAAATAATCCCATTTACTATCAAGAGAAGACAACATTGAAATAGTCTGCATACTATTTGAAAATTTTAGTTTTAGACAATTCTAAAAAATTTTTTTAAAGATTTTATTTACTTATTTGAGAGAAGGAGAGCACAAGTGGATTGAAGGACAGAGGGAGAAACAGACACCCTGATGAGCAGGGAGCCCGATGCAGGGCTCCATCCCAACCAAAGGTGGCTACCCCAGGCTACCCTTCAGGCTCACCCTAAAGACATTTTTTTAATACAGCTTTTTTTTTTTTTTTTTTTTTTTTCAGAATACAGAACACTGTCATAATTGCTATGAGTAAAGTTTTCAATTAATATACACTTTTAGTCTGTCAATATGAAACTCTTTTGGCATTGTAGTCTCTTAAGTGTTTTCTATCTTGGGATTTCCTTCTACATTTAAAGAATTTCTAGGGGCGCCTGGGTGGCTCAGCCGTTAAGTGTCTGCCTTCAGCTCAGGTCACGATCCCAGGCCCCTGGGATTGAGCCCCACATCAGGCTCCTTCCTCAGCAGGGAGCCTGCTTCCCCCTCTGTCTGCCGCTCCCACTGCTTGCACTCTCTCTCTCTCTGTCAAACAAATAAATTAAATACTTTTAAAATATGAGTAAAACAAAGAATTTCTACCTCAAATGGAGTTTCTATATAAATTATAGCTCAATAACATGATTAGGTAGATGATAGATAGATAAATAGATGATAGATAAATCTGTCCTACCTGCCAAAGAGTTATAGAGCTTGAAGTTTTCAGATGATTCTTCACTACACCAAAAAAACTAACTCTGAACAATTCCCCCAAATCACTTCTTTGTCTTATATAAAATCTGTTTGGCATATAAGGGTGCAAAAGGTCAGTATGGTTGTTTTGCTAACAGAAAGTCTGAACAATCTGTGCTCTTACTGGTTTTTTTTTTTTTCCACTTTTTGCACTTGGTTAAAAAAGATGTAAGCATCCATCACTAATGGATAGAGTCAGGAGTTCCCTATGAAAATAGATTGTCATGAAGGAAAACAGAATGGAGAGGTTGGGCGATATAAATAGCCTACAAAGTGCTAACCATTTTATCCACAGTAATTTCTCATAAATTACACTCTGCTTGAATTTATGGTTAATTTTTTTTCTCTTTTTACTAGTGGTGCAAACTTGGGTGAGTTACTTAATACCACAAAACATGTTGTCTCATTCATGAAGTGAGCAAGAAATTAATTCCTGCCTCATAAGTTTGTTCTAAGGATTAAATGAAGTAACGTACAAATAATGATCCGCATTGTGCTTGCTCTATCCTGGTATATTTTTACTGCATAATCAATGTTAGCTACCAATAACAGCTAACAGTAGCTATTAACAATGATGGTGAATGCATTTCTTATACTGGTACTCATGTAGCATTGTCCCTGGGACTGAGAAATCAACTGGTTGGCCAGTTGTTCCAAAATAGTCCATTGTGCCACCTCTGGATTATTCTATTTTTATTGTTTTCCCTTCTGCTCCCAGAGCATAATAGCTTAGTCACTGCCATATATCCATATCCTATGGTCATCCTATTTCTGCCAGGTTTGAGAATTCTAATGTGATTGGGGATTTCAACCCTTAGATAGTTTCAGCTTAGAAAACTGCTTTACACAATGTGCCATGGTTGTCACTGTGTTGATATGTAGGCCCAGCAGTACCTTTCCTGAAGACTAAGTTAGTGTCTGTCATGATTTCGGGGATCATGAAGAGTGTCACTAAATAATAGACTTGAATGGTTATTCTAAACTCTTTTTTATATTTTGCAAGGCACCGTTCAATAATTTACAGCATCAAATGGCATTTTCTTCTAAAAGGTCAAGTCTGACTCTAAATGAAGGACATTCCATGTTATTAAAACTAAACATCAGGGCGCCTGGGTGGCTCAGTAGATTAAAGCCTCTGCCTTCGGCTCGGGTCATGATCCCAGGGTCCTGGGATCGAGCCCCGCATCGGGCTCTCTGCTCGGCAGGGAGCTTGCTTCCTCCTCTCTCTCTCTCTGCCTGCCTCTCTGCCTACTTGTGATCTCTATCTGTCAAATAAAATAAAATTAAAAAATCTAAAAAAAAAAAAAAACTAAACATAAATATTTATATTCTTCCAAGTAAAGTAAAAGCAGATAAATACCTAAAATTATATTGAATCCCCCCAGGGAATGTTTTCAATTTCTGAGATATTAGCAGTGTTAATCCAACCTTTTTTCAGTAGTATCAGGAACAGCACTGAACAGCTGACAACCCCCAGTATAAGTAAACTTCTGTTAATAGAGAAAAAGAAATGCCAGATGTGCTTTACCATATAAAAAACATATATACATATTAAATGATGTGAAATGGGCATAGTTCCATTCTGGCACAATTTTGACCTT